GCGACGTGGGCTACAAGCGCATGCGGCTGCCCAACCTGCTGGAGCATGAGACCATGGCCGAGGCCAAGCAGCAGGCCAGCAGCTGGGTGCCTCTGCTCGCCAAGCAGTGCCACACCGACACCCAACTCTTCCTCTGCTCCCTCTTCGCCCCCGTCTGCCTCGACCGGCCCGTCTACCCCTGCCGCTCCCTCTGCGAGGTGGTGCGTGACTCCTGTGCCCCCGTCATGGAGTCCTACGGCTTCCCCTGGCCCGAAATGCTGCACTGTGGCAAGTTCCCCTCTGACCACGAGCTCTGCATCGCCGTCCAGTTTGGGAACAGCAAGGTGACCCCACCACCAGGTAAGCAGGAAGGGCACTGCAATGGGATGGGGACGCATGCAGGGCACCTGCCAGCAGTGTGTCCCCACGCAGCCGGGGACCCGCATGCAGGGTCCTCCTGCAGAGCCCCCACACCCCCATCTCTGCACCCCTCGAAGCAGGGCATGGGGTGCTGGCAGTGGCCAAGGACCCTCTGTCTGCAGCAGGGCACAAGTGAGAATAGTACTGGTGTCGTCAGCTGCTGCGGCTGGGCACCGTTTGCTGTCCAGGGAGCAAAGCACCTTGGCCCCAGGGGACCCAGGCACCCAGCTGCCTGCACAGACCGCAGAGGGAGAGCGGAGCAGCCACAGGAGCAGCACTGGGGGTGAACGTGGGATGAGGTGGGAGCTGCTGGGGGACCCATGGCAGAGCTGTGTCCCTCTCCTCCTGCTGGGTCCCATCCCAGCAGCAAAGAGCATCCTGCACTTGTGGTTATCGGCCTCACACTGCTGTCACAGGGTGGCTGTCTTCTCAGGCACGGGAGGGGACATCACCTGAAGGCAGCCCAGGGTCAGGATCAGGGCTGTGACACCCTTCAGGCTGGGGCCACCCTTGCAGCTGCTGCTGTGCCCCAAAGCATCGGCAGCTGGACAGGGGTTGCCCCCATATCCCATCCCTCCTGGAGGGGTGCTGGGACACCAGCCAGCGAGGTGCTCTGTGCCCCCAGCATCACCCCGGCACAGCTGCTCAGGGAGCAGGGGGGCTGCCAGTGCTCTCCCAGCATATCCCCGCAGAGTTGGCCCAGGTGACAGGCACCAGCAGGGAGTTGTGACAGGGGCTGGTCTCTCACCACAGTGTCCAAGATCTGCACCCAGTGTGAGATGGAGCACAAGGCGGACGGCATGATGGAGCAGATGTGCTCCAGTGACTTTGGTGAGTGCTGGGGTCCCCTTCCTGGTCCCCCTGCCCTGGACAAGGGGCTGCCCTCCCCCACCTCTGATAACCCAGGGGAGGGTTGGCTGGAGGGCATGGTTTTCCAGGGACAGCCCCGTGGGACACCCCCCCAGGCCATTCCCTTGGACATGCATGAGATGGGTGCACCACAGGAGAAGACATCAGGGGGGGGCAATAGGCAGAATGGGACATTTGGGAGGGTCACTGGGGGCC